CCGCTAACTTCGACCTCACCCTGCCTGGCTTTACTGAACTTGTTCCTATAGCACCCATTCCATGGGAATTTTGGTGCTAATGGTGTTAATCTTTTACTACACTTCCCAGGAGTTCAGTCATCTCCAGGCAGAGCTCTAATCTCATTCTCAGGCAATCCTCTCTGCTGTGAGCCTCTGCTATCCCTACAGGGTATTCCTCTACTACCCAGGGCTTCAAGGTCTCTCATTTTCTCTTTCTCCAAACACAGCTGATTAAACCCCTGTTATGATCCCAGGTGATCCTGTTTATGGTCTTGCCACACTGTATATCCTTGCATCCTGTTTGCCTTTTTCAACTGTTGAAAGCATTTTCATATGAGTCTAAAAGAAAGCCTTTCCTGTTCTTTAGTATAAGTGGCAGAATAAGATCAAGACCTGAGATTTGTTTATCATAAGGAATGACACATAGCCTATCTGATGACATTCATACAATCAACGTTTATAAAACTACCTTGATCAATATTGAGCTAGAATGTTTAACCCTGATACTGTAGCTCTTTACGGAACACAGCTGACATTACCTGATCATTTAGTTACACTCTGGCAAGGAAAGAGTAGAAACACTGCCAGTGGACGAACAATCCACTGACAAATGGATCAGATAGACTTGGCTCTCTGCCTGGAAACATTCAAGGGTGCCATTAACCTTGGAGTGTGTTTACCCCAGCATTTCACTCAACCACTGAAACCAAAGATTAGTTCTGCCATCAACCAGAAGACACAATCGATGGTAAAACCAAGCGAATTATATCTAAGAAAGTTTAGAAACAAGAGAAGGCCCATCCAGGTTGTTTGGTTAATAGTAGCTAATTGATCCTATGATCTCATGCATCCATTTCTTCATTAACAAGATGGTTAAGGATGTGAATGATAGTGATGGTTGGGTAGCTTCGTCCAGACTCCCGCATCCCTTTGTATAAAGCAATGTCCCTTGTGATTTAGATGAACAGGTACAAGAATTCATCCCCCCTCTAGCATTTATATATAATGTATAATAATAATAATATAATGTTTCTTTATTAGCCCTATACAATTTCTTGCATTAGGAATGTGTCTTTTCGCATACCCCAGCTTTTCTCCATGGAGACACAGACACAGAGACATGGAGAGAAGCTTGGGGTCAGAGTGCAGGGTCTGCCATTGTACAGCGCCCCTGGAGCAGTTAGGTTTAAGGGCCTTGCTCAGGGGCCCAACGGAGTAGGATTCCTCTGCCAGCCGCGGGATTTGAACCAGCAACCTTCCAGCCACAGGCGCAGATCCCTAGCCACAGAGCCACCGCTCCGCTTTGAAATGAGGACTTTCTTTTTACTAGTCCAAGACCTTAGCCACAATGCCATGCTGCTGCTGCTGTATATACTGTACTAGCCAGAAGATGTCAGCACAAGAATAGGTGCTAATTGAGACACGCGTCTTAAGTAAATAATTACTTTAGCCTACTGGACAGTACTAGGTAACAAGAATGGAAATGGCTGATGAATACTACATTAGGCACAGCTCCTTTCATTCTTCAGCAAAAAGTAACACCATAACTGGTTTCAGGTAAACTAGTGTAATGTAACGAACAGTTCTTTCCGGACCCTATGCGGACGACACAATCCGAAGAAGTGGGGAAACACTGGGGAAACGTCATGCAGGAATATGGGGCTGAAGACAGGGGGGCGTGTCCAAGGTGCGCTGGTGCACGGGGGAGGTGTGGCCGAGGCGAACAATCCAAAAGAGTAATCCATAGAGGGTATCCAAAAACACAAGGGTAAGTCCAAAACCAGGAGATCCATCAGAACAAGGTATTAAAACACGAAGGCCGGGTCGGAACCGGCAGACAGGGAACAGGAACGGGAACCGAGATTAAAACCTTAACGGGACCAGGCGCTTCCAGGTCCCGGACTCGCACGATACGGAAATCAGATGCAGAGCCCGAATGAGCGTCAGCGCCTGGGTTTTAAGGTGGGCTGGGAATAGGAAACAGGTACACAGAATAAAGTCTCAAGTGAAAGGGCTGGAGCACCCTTAAGGAGGGGGGACTATAACCGTGACAGTAATACACTATGTCCATCCACTGAAGCAAAATATGTAGCCCTAACTTACAACTAAAACATGGCAAGGAGGAAAACATCACAAGCACATGTGGCAGCCTCTTAGGTACTGTCTCCAACTGTAGCAGATGCACACAATATCAGAGGCATGTCTGACAGAATCAGGCACCAGCTACATCCTTAGAAAAGACAGCCTAGGGCTTTGCTTCACAAGCTGAAATATGTAATGGACCTCCTTAGTGATACAGGCCCCCAGAACTGATTTCCGCCTGGAATTTTCTCCCCTTAAATATTTGGGTATACCTCTGCAGCAGAACAAAGC